AAATCTACCATCGTAACACGATTTAAGAGGAGATCGAACCTTAGGACAGCATTTTCCACAGTTGGAACACCTAATGGGGTTCACATGACCACGGTTGTGCTTGTTCCTTCCACCATTCCTGCGCTTGAAAGTCTGCAATAACAAAATCGAATTTCATTTTAATCTCTACAAGGAGCTTGATTCTGTGTAATCAAACGATGAATCTATCAAGTAACGGAGAAGACTTGCCATGTTGAAGCAGAGAGATTCAAGCAAATTGCCTCTGTGATCTCTTTGTTGCGGCGACAGGGGGAAGAGTGCAGTAACCCTAAAAATCGCAAAATAATCTTTAATATATGCAGACACTTGACCTTTAGGGTTTTATTCGAGTGGGTTGACTGAAGTTATTGGGCCTCTGACTAACACATTTAAAGCCCAGGCCTTCTTTATAATTGGGCCTGTTACCGACGACTACAATTTAAATAACCAAATTGTCAATATTTTCAGGAAGAAGACACAGTTAGCTTCAGTATAGATCGCTACTGTCACTGTCGGGATTCCTTGTTGTGTCTCTTCAATTTATGGTTTTTCTTTTGGGTTAATCTTCAAGAGAATCAGTGGCTATTTCAAAAAAAAAAAAAGAATCAAATTTTTGCTTTGGACTTTCTCGCTTCCAATTTGGGTTCTTGATTCAAGATTGATTCGTATCAAGAGCCTTGAAGATATTTTTTGTGGTGGTTCTTCTTTTTTTGTTTCGGATGAGTTTCTGAAGCTCACGAGCTTGACTATTTCTGGGTTTCTCTGTTCTCCAAGTGAAAACCGAAAAATGGAATATCTTGATCTTCACTAAGGTATATCCATTCTCAATTCAATTAGCCTGTGAATTTTTAGTTCAGTAGCGATGAGAATACTTAATCGATTGGACAGATTTCATCATGGTGAGATCCGTAGATTGTTGTCGGGGATTATTGTGACTGTTGGTTTCGTTGTTCTACTAGTCCAGTGTTTTGGTATTCCCTGTCCCAGAGCTTTTTGCTTGTCTCCATTTAAGGTTTCAAGTGACTTTACCATTTCCAATGAAGTTTCTTTGGTCAAAACCGAGATCAATTACATAAATCTCTC